TTCCAGTAGCAGCAAATGCAACAGATGAACAGAGAAACGCGCAGAAGGAAGTAAGGAAGAAGGATCAGAAAGCATTGTTCTTCATTCATCAATGTGTGGATGTAAATGTGTTTGAGAAGATTGCAGATTCAACAACGGCAAAGGCTGCGTGGGACACACTGGTGAGATGTTATGGTGGTGACGCATCAGTGAAGAAGGTGAAGCTTCAGTCCTTGAGAAAGCAATATGAGAATCTCAACATGAAGAATAATGAGAAAGTCTTTGAATACATCTCCAGAATGATTCTGATCACTAATGAGATGAAGGCGTGTGGAGAAACTCTTTCAGAAGAAACAATAATGGAGAAAGTATTGAGATCCCTTACTCTTCAATTTGATTACATTATGGTAGCAATAGAACATTCCAAAGATCTGAGCACCATGAGAATTGAAGAGCTGCAGAGCAGTCTAGAAGCGCAAGAGTTGCGTTTGACTGAGAGAACTTCTGAAAAGGAAGTAGAGCAGCAGGCTCTGAAAGCAACTTCTGATAGGAGGTATCAGAAGCAGTCAGAAGCCAGGAGAAGATCTGATGGTGGTCAGAAGTCAGAAAGCTCAACCTCTGATAGACAAAAGAATGCTCAGAAGGGAAAAGAGAAGTATGACAAGAAGAAGATCCAATGTTACTGTTGTAAGAAGTTTGGTCACTTTGCTAGAGATTGTTGGTCAAACAAGGAGAGAAAATCAGAAGAAGCAAATATAGCCAGAAGTTCTGATGACGAATCTGTGCTATTGATGGCTTCTGAATCTGATAATATGGATCTGATAGACTGGTGGTATATGGACACTGGATGTTCAAATCATCTTACTGGAAACAAGAAATGGATGGTTGACTTTGACTCTGAAAAGAGAACAAAGATCAGATGTGCTGATGACAAATATCTTAATACAGAAGGTATGGGAAATGTCAGAGTGATTCTGAACAATGGGAAAACAGCATTGATTCAGAACGTGTGGTATGTACCTGGCATCAGAAGCAATCTGATGAGTGTGGGACAATTAATTGAGAAAGGTTTTTCAGTTACCATGAAGGATAATCTTCTGAAGCTGTATGACTGCAATCAGAAGTTGATTATGGAGTCAGAACAAGGAAGGAATAGAACATTCAAGGTGAATGTCAGAACTGCAGACTCAAAATGTCTTAGTGCAACATGTGCTGAGAAGGAGAGTGAGCTGTGGCACAGAAGATTTGGTCATTTGAATTTCAGAAGCTTAAAACATCTGAATTCAAAGAAGTTGGTACATGGAATTCCTGCAATTAAGAAGCCTGAAAAATCATGCAAAGTTTGCATGGAAGGAAAACAACCACGATTGCCATTTGCGTCAGAAGCTGCTCCAAGAGCAAAACATGCCTTGGGAGTTGTACATTCTGATGTGTGTGGTCCATTTCCAGTAGCATCAATTGGAGGGAATAAGTACTTTGTGTTGTTTGTTGATGAATTCACAAGAATGACATGGGTATCCCTTATTAAATTTAAACATGAGGTGTTTGATGAATTCAAGAAGTTCAGAATGAAGGCTGAGAATCAGAGTGGTCAGAAGTTGAAGATTCTTAGAACTGATGGTGGAGGTGAGTATAACTCCAAAGAGTTCCAGAAGTTCTGTGAGGAGAATGGAATTGAGCATGAGGTTACTGCTCCTTATACCCCTCAACACAATGGTCTTGCTGAAAGAAGAAATCGTACTTTGCTTGATATGGTGAGAAGCATGCTAAAGGAGAAGAAGCTTCCTCAAAAGCTCTAGGGAGAAGCTGTTGCCACTGCAACGTATGTACTCAACAGATGTCCTACGAAGAAGTTGAAGGAAATAATTCCAATACAGAAGTGGACTGGAGATAAGCAAAGTGTTAGTCATCTGAAGGTGTTTGGTTCTGTTTGCTACAAACATGTTCCAGAAGCCAGAAGACAGAAGCTGGATGATAGAAGCAAAGTGATGATTTTGATAGGGTACCACAGTACAGGTGCATACAAGCTCTATTGTCCAGAAACTAATAAAATTGAATTCAGTAGAGATGTGATTGTGAAGGAATTAGAAGTTTGGAATTGGGATAAGTCTCAATCTGATTCTGATGTTAGAACTCCTGAAGAAAGGTCAGAGTTAAGAATTTCTGAAGTTGGAGTAAATTCTGACGTTGATTCTGACTCTGATAGTGATTCTGACTCTGGAGAAGACTCAGAAGATGAAGGTGACTCTGATGATCCAGACTCTGATGATCCAGACTCTGAAGATGGCCAAGGCTCTGGAGGAAGTCAAGCCTCTGAAGCTAGAAATTCTGAAGTTCAAGACTCTGGAAATATGTCAGATCTTGAAGTTGGTCAAAGCTCTGGAGAAAGTCAATCATCTGAAGCCCAAGACTCTGAACAAGTTCAGAGACCACAAAGAATCAGAAACGTCCCCAGAAGATATGCAGAATTTGACATGCTGCAAGACACTGAAGTAGACTCTGAAGGAGAAGTTATTCAGTGTGCCATGATGGTAGACTCTGAACCCATAAGTACAGAAGAGGCTCTTAAGCAGAAGCTCTGGCTGAAGGCCATGAAAGAAGAACTTGATGCTATAGAGAGAAACAAGACTTGGAAGCTGACAGAACTTCCAAAAGACAAGAAAGCCATCAGCGTTAGATGGGTTTTCAAGCAGAAGTTAAAGCCAGATGGTTCAATTGGCAAACATAAAGCAAGGTTGGTAGCCAGAGGATTTCTACAGAAACTTGGGCTGGATTATTCTGAAGTGTTTGCACCTGTAGAAAGACATGAAACAATCAGAATGGTGATTGCAATAGCTGCTAACAGGAATTGGCCTCTGATGCATTTAGATGTAAAATCTGCATTTCTGAATGGTCCATTAGAAGAAGAAATTTACGTGTCACAACCTCCTGGATTTGTGAAAAAGAATCAGGAAGGGATGGTGTACAGATTATACAAAGCTCTATATGGATTGAAACAAGCGCCCAGAGCTTGGAATCAGAAGATTGATTCATTTTTTAAGAAACAAGGCTTTCAGAAATGTGAGATGGAGTACGGTGTCTATGTTGAGCATACTTCTGAAGGCAATATGACTCTGGTATGTTTATATGTTGATGACATACTATTGACTGGAAGTTCTGAACAGGAGATAGCCAAGTTCAAGAAAGTTCTGATGAATGAATTTGAAATGACTGATCTAGGCAAAATGACATACTTTCTAGGGATGGAGTTCAGATATTCTGAGAAAGGTATCATTTTGCATCAGCTCAAGTATGAATTAGAACTTCTGAAGAGATTTGAACTGAAGAGTTGTAAGATTGCTGTCACACCTTCAGATACAAATCAGAAACTGGATTCTGACTCTGATGGAAAGGATGTGGACGCTACAACCTTCAAATAGTTGGTTGGTTCTCTGAGGTATCTGTGCAATACCAGACCTGATATTTGCTACTCTGTTGGGATGATTAGTAGGTTCATGAGTAAACCTAAGTGGTCCCATTACCAAGCTGCTGTCAGGATTCTGAGGTATATCAAGGGAACTCTGAAGTATGGAGTGTTGTTTCCTTCTGGAAGAAAGGATGAATCAGAACTTCTGAGTTATTCAGATTCTGATTGGTGTGGAGACAGAGTTGACAGAAGAAGTACATTTGGGTACTTGTTCAAATTTTTGGGAGGTCCCATTTCTTGGTGTTCCAAGAAGCAACCTGTTGTGGCGTTATCAACCTGTGAAGCTGAATACATTGCAGGTGCTGTTACTGCATGCCAAGCTGTGTGGATTCTGAATCTGTTGCAGGATCTGAAGATTAAAATAAACAAACCTCTGAAGTTGATGATTGACAACAAGTCTGCAATCAATCTTGCCAGAAACCCAGTGTTGCATGGGAGAAGCAAGCATATTGAGACCAAGTATCATTTTCTGAGACATCAAGTTCAGAGTGGAGTGTTAGAAGTTGTACACTGCAGCACTCAGAAACAGTTGGCAGATGCTCTGACGAAAGCTATCAAGACTGATCAATTTCTCAGACTAAGGGATGGAATTGGTGTTACAAGTTTTGATGGAATATGAATTAAGGGATGGTATTAGAAGTAATTCATATTAGTAGTACTATTTTCTTAGCCCCTAAGTTTGTTAGAGTGTATTTTAGTATTTTATCTTATTCTAGTAACCCTAGTTTTTAGCTTATAAATAGGGTTGCAATCATTGTTATTTTAATAGTTGTGTAGCCGTCATTCTTAATAGAATATTTCTCTTTTTTTCATCATTTATTCTACCTTTGCACCAATAGGGTCAAGCCCATGAATGCCCACCCCTCCCATGGTTCCAGGCCCATGGATGCTCTTCCTGCATCTATCTCTCTATCCTATCATGACCCAGGCCCATGGATGCTCCTCCTGCATCTGTCTCTCTATCCTATCATGACGACCAAATGGACACTTTTCCCATGATCTGAATGAGAATAAAGAGGTGAGCAATACAATTAGGAAAACCTATATTCCCTTCTCTATATTTTACTATATATAAGAAAAGCTAGATTCTCATATGCATGGAAATCTCTAGATAATATATAAAGGATAATTTACCTAAATAAAAAAGATTACTTCATTAGTATCTGTACTTCCTAGTTTGCATTCAAATAATAGACACAGCACAAGCATGTTATAACTGAAGTCTCTCATTCTAATTTATGTTACAAACACATTCTACACAGTACAACAATTCATTGGTGGTTTGTCATTGTAATCCAGTAAAATTTAATCAATTATGTGAACAAATTAATAATACACATGGACAACAAATTCTCGGTCGAGTAAAAATTAGTGTAAATAAAGATATAAGTCGATGACAGAGCTGTGTTTCTGAACAAGCTATCTTCTGTGTTTTCTGTTCTGTTTTCTCATCTTTCTCGACTGGTCTCAAAGCAACCTTGTATGTCAAGTGGACATAGCATTGATCAACAATTTGCACGTTGCTCGTAAGTGATGGAAATAAACAACAATGATATCAAGAACACTGATTTTTCTGAAAATCTTCTGCTGATAATAAACCATTGATAAGGCGTTTAAGTCTTCCTGCACCAGGGCCAGGTCTAAGTTCAGTGATATTTCTTATATAAGAATATGGTTTGGTGATGTTTGGATTAGCTCGACTGAACCACGTGCCAGGCACATAGCCGTGGTCATTTCGCCCCAAGAGTTCGGTATCAATTTTATCCAAGAGAGGCTCGTTCCTGCCAAATTTTCGACCAAAAGGAGCGTTGCTGTCTATCATACTCTGGTAGTGATCAGCTGTAAGGAAATGTGGGTGTTGTTTGGGAGGGTTGTCCCATGATATGAAGTGGAGATCATGGTTCACCGTAGTGTTACGAAACTCCTCGGCATTGCAGATGACCGTGTGGAAATATCCTTCAGGGGAAGATAGAAAGTTGGCATAATACATCAAGACTATTCTAGGTAAGTTATCCCATCCCCATAACATATATTCAACGAATTGACGAGAGAGCATCATCCACGCAGAACCTAACAAAAATCAAATAGCAATGATAAATCATATAGCATATTCTTGAGCATGAGTCATACTTTTTTTTTTAATGGCGAACGAGTCATAGTTACTCTGTTCGGTTCAAAGATAATGTTGTAATCTGGACAGTAATATTTAGCCTTGAAATAATATAAAACGAGCTGCAGCTACTCTGCAGTCGAAGAAAATGTAGGTACAATTGGTCGAACATCATTACAAAACATCATGCATTTCTCTAATTGCGTTTACAGTCATTCACAAGTTTCTAATATATTCGATTTATGCAAGGAATAGATGTCTCATACTACCAAAACATTCTACAAATTTGAGATAACAAACTAATCAAACTGGTGTGAAGAAAAACACGAAATATGAAATTGAATCAAAATGAGAGGCATAAAAACCAAGTTTCTCACCTGTAAACAGCTTATATGCTGTGGGAACACTTCTTTTCTCCGTCACCCAAAACACATCAGATTTATTGACGCTATAAAGCGCCGGATCAATTATAACAGGCTTCGCTCTCTGATCTCTATCAAAAAACAAAAACAGCAAAGAAAACATAAATTCGACATTCTACAAAATTAACACTGCATTCAATTCATGAAAAAAAAAAAACCAATTAAACAACATTAAAGTGAAAAAAACAAAAGGATTATCAACATACTCCTTCCATCCGATATCACTAGTATGCTCAATGAAGTTAAGGTGTCTTGGAATAGACGACAAAGTATGTAGTAGATCTGTTACAACCAAAACACGCACAAAAACAAAAACATTGCATTGTTTCATTAGCCAAAAAAAACTAAAAAGGTTTAAAAAACTAAAATTTCTAGAAAAAAACAAACCATCTTGTGTGAGCAAGGGATAATCAGAAGCACTGAGATTAATAAACCAATCCCAATGACCAGCTTCTTTGAACAAAAGTGCAGCGGCATGAAGAGTATTCGTAACCATAGTAGGACCTCTATAAGTAACCAAATTCGCCTTAACAATCATCTTAACATTACCCAATTCAGCAAAAAGAGGTTCATTCCTTACAAAGCTAGCAAGGTCCAATCTTTCTCGAAGAGAAGCTTCTAAATCCAAATGAACAGCGTATTGGTTTCTTGGATGGTAAAGGGCTTTAAGGGTTCTCTTCAAACTCTCTCCGTCACCAGCTGAACCTGAGATCAAGTAAGCGATCCTTGGGACTGAGTTAATGGGTGATGTTGAAGAAACCCTTAGCTTTGATTCGACAAAATGAGGTGAGTTTTGGTTAGTTCTTGAACGGGAAAGGTAGAGTAAGGATGAGGAATCGGAGGAGATGAAGATGGAGAGAAGGATGAGGAAAGTGGTGAGGAGAAGAGAGAAGATGAGTGGTACAAACCATTTTTTCTTCTTGGGTTGTTTGGTGGTTTCCATTGGTGAGATGGAGAGGGAGGTTTTGGAGTTGAAGAAGGTACCTAGAGAGAGAAAGTGAGGAGAGAGAAAGTGAGAGTTGTCTTGGTGTTTTCTGACTCCAAGGAGAGACAGAAGTTGAAAGAAAAGTGGTGTGGTGGAATAATGTGAATAACCATTAAAGTATTTAATGAATGTAGTTAAGAGATTTTGTTACACTATAAATACACTCCTTCTTTCAATTATTATAATAACTAATAAGGATAAAAATAATGATAACAAGATAATACTTTTTTTATGCATTAATTTAATAATAAAGGGTGGAGTATAAAAGAATTGTATATATTAACAAAAACAACTCTTATAATGATATGTTGTATTTTAATTTTTTTTTTATGGAGGATGATATGATTTATAAAATATTATTTATTTGTAAATCACATTTGAATTTGTTAGGAATAATTGTATTCCAAAAATGAGTTTAGGTTCGAATTTTTATTTATTTATTATATGCTGTAGAATAATGAATTACATGGAAATATAATAGTCAAATATAAATAATATAATAGATAAATTTATAAATATATTGTAAATATATAATAGCTTATTAAAAAATTAATAATTTATTTGTTGTAAAGAATTTTTCAATGTAGTTGATGAATATTTGACAACTATACTAGAAATCACAAGAATAATAAATCAATTAACATTGTTTTCTCGTGTCTTGTTATTAACTTAGAATGAGGCAATAGTTGTTTTATATTATATCTTCACCTGAATAATGTGCCAAAAATGGGTAAATTAAATGAGAATATGAAAATGAATAAAAATTATTAGATTTAAAAGGAAAGTTTGAGATTAAATTATATCATTTACTGAATTATGTGTCAAAAATCGGAAAAAAATTAGGCACTTTTAAGAAGAGAGAGAAATTAATAATCAATTTTAAAAATATCTTTTCATTCAATAGTTCAAATTCATTTTCATATTCTCATATAAAGATAACATCCTCATATATATATATATATATATATATATATATATATATATATATATATATATATATATATATATATATATATATATATATATATATATATATATATATATATATATATATATATATATATAATCTTATCTGATCAGAAGGGAATCAATGACCTGCCACGCGTCGTCGATCTAAAGGTTGTTCACCGGAAGTAGGGAGGAGGAGGGGGATGTACCTGCAAGACACTCTGATGCCAAAGTAAGTAATGAACCAGAGTGAGAGCAAATACATAAGAGAGATAGAGAATTGAATACCTGACCCTCTAGTGAAAGAGGGTATTTATAGAGAAACCCCAGCGCAGGGCCAACGGTCACTAGTGTTGGGCTAGATTGTCAGGCCCAACCCAGGTGACTGCTAGGGCTTACGTGGCGTAGCGAAGACTAGCACGTGGTCTTCGCCCTAGTTCAACCGTCCCGTGATCTCCGGAAGGTGGGCTGACCAGCTCTTTCGGAGGTGGGTAGTTGGCTGATGACGTGTCCCCGCGGAGGGGACACGTGGAGAACGTGTGGAAAACGTGTTGTTCTGCCCGACGGAGGGAGGAAGCCTGCTCAGTGTGCTTAGACCCGTGCCCGACACTGGGGATTTGGGCCTTGTTGACCTTCCCCAAATAGCATTGGGCTGGGCATACCCGACAGATGGGAAGGCCTGGGCCCAGTCTAGAACAGGAGCCCCTCAAGTCATAGCTCCAACGCAAAGGAGCAAGGACTTGTCGATAACTGTGTCGGGGAGGAAGAAGGTGTAAGGACGAACCTTTGTCGATCTGCCGAATCGAGGACGCGGGCGCGAGGATCCTGGTCTTGCCGAGCCGTCAGGTTGAGGAGGGGGAAGGTTGGCGCGTCCTCGCCTATATGTGCTAGTGTGGGAGAACGAAGGGACGCGACTGTTCATGGTGGCCACGTGTCTAATAGTCAATGGGCCACGTAGGGCCGCTACCCTAAGATACTCGAGTGCCTATGGGCGCTTCGAGTCCCGTGTTGGGTTTATAAATAGGCAGGAGGCCGCCCCTTTACCACTTTTCGCATTCTCTTGCTTTCGCGTGTGACATTTGATCTCCGCATACATTGTTTACAATTCATCTCCACTGTCACGTTCGTCGCGTACTTCGTCGTTTCTACCAATCTAGTAAGTTCTCTGCCTCTGTTCCTCTGTTTTCATTAGATTCGACGCCGTCGTCGGGGGCATGATGAATGCCCCGAGGAGGGCGTAGGTTATCTGTCGACTACGACGGGATATCCTCTGACTTAGGATGAAGGCCTCGAGGACATTTGGGGTTGTAGGATGAGTGTCCCATGGACGATCGACATAATGAGAATGGGTACCCCGGGGATAAAGCACAGTTTTTGATGAACACCCCGGAGACGTAGGATAGGGACAGATGAACACCCCGAGGATGTTGAATAGGACTAGATGAATTTCCCGGGGAGGGACGCTCGGGCGGACATGGACGTCGCGAGCTCTCGCCGAGTTGTGGTCGTCGTCCCTATCGCTCTTTCACTTGATTTGTGGTGGAAGGGTGAATTTGATCTTGAACTTCGAATTCACCATTTCCTTCTGCTTTTCAGGTGAATATGACCTCGTGGGTGTCGGGGACCATGGAAGTCAATGTGGAGCCGGAGGTTCCCGTTGCTGAGGTGTGTGCTCGTCCTGTCGAGGAATGGGTTGCCGAGGAACCATTAAATATGTCGTCCTACTTTGTCGACGACGATACCGGAGCCTATGCGACTGTCGAAGACCGCTGCGAGGGCTCTCCTATTTGCTGACAGTGTACCGACCACGAGACTATCATCAGATATGCTCGATGTATGGGAAGATGAGGTTCTCGATGTACGAGTTTTACTTCCACGAGGCCGGTCTTAGGCTGTCTTTTACCGATTTTCCAGCTGGGTGTCTTCGACTGGATGAGGTTGGCCCCCTCACAACTGCACCCTAATGTCATGGCTTCATCCGGGCGTACGAGCTCATTTGCCGGCATTTGGAGATTGGGGCCACTCTTACGTTGTTTTTTCGCCTTTTCCACCTGCAAAGGCAGACAGTGGATGGCCGGCAAGAGTGGATTTCGCTTCTCCATGCTTCGGCCTGTTTCTCTCGAGGCGTGCGCCTCCCTGTATTGACGAGAAGCCCGGAAAGTGGATGGGCAGCGGGAGGAAGTTATAGTACCGGGGGTGCCCTTGGAGTGAACGGATGAGCACTTCAAAAAGGGGACGGATCACTATATTGTACGGGCAGGGACCATGGATGAGAAGGACCTGGTGGGCTACCAGAAAATGGTGTCCTTTGTGGCCAGCTTCTCCCCAACCAAGTTGGTGACGCCCGACGAGAACTTCATCCTCGACAGCCAAGGGAATATTCGCCGGCAGAAGAGGCTGATAAACACGAAGGCTCTGCTCGAGTGTTCGTCCGATGATGAGGCTCTCCGTTTCCTAGGTGGTGGGCGGTAACCTGCTCGACATTTTGACCCCTGTTTGTCTGCCTTTGCTAATCCTTTCTTGTTTTGTTTTGCAGGAAGCAAGTCGACCATCGAGGAGCGAGTGAGGAAATTGGCGTCTTCCAGAGCCACGGCCAAAAGCGGGAAGGGCAGGGTTGCCCAAGTGATGCAGCAGGTTATCACCGACCATGGAGGAAAGGGGTCCTCGTCTTTGCCTCAAGGTAGCCACTCTCTGATGTCGCAAGGGACTGCGAAGTTGGTAAGAGTTTAGTTGTCTGACGCCGTTGTCGACCTCACGGAGGGCATTTCCGAGGAGGGTTTTCTCATCCCCCTTTCCACCAGAATCTTGGGTTCTTCCATGGCGCTAGGTCGCCAGCTGTGTCGGCCTCTGAAGCAAAGGTGGTCCTCGGGGCGATTCGCGATGTTCGGCGACAGGTGCTTACGGAAGATTTGGTCGCGATGATGCGGGTTTTCTCGACTGCTCTGGTCTTAAGTGATGAGGGCTGCTCTTCTGCCGAGCTGGCTAAGTTGCAAGGAGACCTCGCTTTTGCTCAGTCGAGGTTGACCAAGCTAACCGTAGAGCTGGATCTGAGCAAGGAAGAGGTGGTCGTGCAGCGCAAGAGGGGAAACAAAGCTGAGGACAAGGTGAAAGCTGCCGAGGAAGAGTTTCCAAGGCTGCGGGCTCGTGTGGAGGAGCTGGAGAACTCACTCCGTCTTGCCAAGGATGATACAGAAGAGGAGAGGCTTTTGTTTTCTCGTGCTAATTTTTTGGGTAGGATCCGCGAGCTGGAGCACGACTGCCTGAGAGCTGTTGAGGTAGGATTCTCCAGTGCCATGGAGCAGATCAGGATTGTGAATCCCGAGGTTTCTTTGGTCACTGAGGGGATTGGGCCCTACCACCAGGTCGTCGAGGGACGGGTGGTCGCGATTGATCCCGAGGTTGATGAGGACGCCACCCTGGTCGATGAGCCTGAAGAAGATCATCTTGAGGACTAGACTAGGTGTTTCCGGGTCTGCGTGCCCGTAGTTTTTAGGCCTGCGTGCCCATTTTTGCTAAGTTGTTTTGTCGGGCCTGCGTGCCCTTTTTTTTGCTGTAATTGACTATTGGACTAACGCCCCTTTTATAATAGAATATTTTTCTTTTTGTTAAGTGTGTGCTCGTTTTTAGGTTTGCATGTTTGTATGTTTGTATGAATTTGTATCTTTATTTGTTGTTAGGAGTGTTGCTCGACGCTTTATTGATTGTTTCCGATAGTGTAGGGAACTAGACGGGGTGACCGGGGGTGTCACCTTGTCGGTTACGGAGAGGGATCGCAGTGCGGTCTTCCCTCCGTAGCGTGAACGTCCTATCATGACCTGGGTGTTCTTCCATCTTGGTACGGAGGCGGTGGCTCTCGGTTGAGGGGTCACCGTCGAACAGAACATTCTACTCGCACACACAATAGGGCTGTTAAGTGCAAATTTTACCTATTTTTCTATATAAGTTTTGTTGCACTTAACGTTACTTTATGTTAAAATCGTTCGAATAAACCCCGCTTTGTTTATAAATGC